ATTAGGTGTTATAAGTCCCAGAGCACGATAAATAAATAAAATAACAACAAAATGACATAGAACTGATAGACGTTTTCTCCTGTGCGTGTCAGCCTTGGTCTACCAAATTGCTATTCGGTAGGAAGAAACTCATTTTTCAGTTTCCATTTTAATTTCCTGACAAATAGAGCGTAGCAACTTCTGTTTTAGAGAACAATAGAACAATAGAAAAGATTACTTTACCATAATTTTAATCATCCCACATTGTAGACATAAAAATATGAAGAGAATGACAAAACCTCTTAAAACACATTTCTTAGGAAACAAATAATGTCGTATTCTTGTTACTATGGCAACAGAGTTTTTTCTTTTTGTCATTTTTGTCATACAGATTACCTATCATACCAGGACCAAATCCTGAAAATTTGAATTCAGTATCTTCATTATTTAGTATCTTAGATATATAGGTTTCTTATAGTGTCCCCTGCAGATTTTATCGGATTATATAAGGAAAATGCTATGAAGAGGGTTGCCCAAGGATGCCACTTAATAGTTGGTATTTTTGAGGTCCCAACCCTCTATTCATGGGAATAGTTAACCATTGTAAAGCTTCTCATGGTTAACTGACAGAATTGATTGTATCTTCAACTAAGAAGACAATAAAATGTTAAAACCAGAAGAAAACAACACCAACTTTCTTCTATTTACCAGGGGTAGGGCACTATAAAGTCATATTAAAATTAGAAAATAGTACTTCGTCACTATAATAGATGTATTACAATATCACACATAGCTTGGGAATGTTGTTAGAATACTACTTTGAGCTGTTTAAGTTATCATATTTTGTTTGAAGCTACAAATATAAAATAAGCAAAAAAAAATGACAAAAATTGCATATTTTTTTCTAATTAATTGTATTTTTCCGAAACCAACAAAGATATCAACCTATAACTTTAGGGTAGTATTCATCTCTGTACTAACAATGTATGCTGTAGAACTCAGAACAATAGTTTATATATCCTTTGAGTTATGAACTAATATTATAGTACCCCCTAAAATAATTCCCTAGGGGGTTAAAAACTCTAAAATTCAGTGTCGTGACCACCCCGTTGAGCTGTCATCTTTTAATATCTTTATCAGCATGAAAAACTGATCCAGAAAAAATAGGTCTGTTGCTTTTTCTAAAAAATGCCTCAAAAACCCTTTCCCTTGAGATATTCTGAAATTGGAACCTGTCTATATCGCCCAATGTGGGCCCGGGACTTGAAAAACAGACGAAGACCTCGTGTGCAAGGGGGGGGGGCTATAATGTAGCAACTTTTGGTTTTGTCAAATAGCTGAAATAGTTTGTCACAAATATTAATTAAATACGCAAATAGAGGCAGGTTTAAGAAATGAGACTAGAGGCAAAGAATAATTATAATTATAAAATCTAAAGTAATTCCTCGATGATCTCTTCTGTAATCAAGGCGGTAGTACACTTCCGCAGTTATAAAAACAAAGACATAGACTAAGTAATTAATCTTTTGTTATCATTTAATATTAGTTACTTACAGCATTAATTTGTCTTGGATTTCCAAGGTATGATGTTTTGATTGAAAATCAAACTGGGAAACGAGTATGCTCCTTACAGCTGTGTATATCAAATCCTGTGAAAAGAATCAATTCAAACTCACCCCCCCCCCATCTAGTGTCTCTTAATTACAATTATTTCGCAAATGAAACAACCCAAAAACGTTGATATGTCAACATAATTTTGCAGAACTGAGCGAAACGAAAGGTGGAATGCACAAAAGGCAACAGTTGAAGTTTTATTTTCCCAATAGACTAGATGCAAAGAAATACATGTGATCTTGATTTACATCCAAAATCCAAAATTGAGATCATATTTCATATTCTTATTTACATTAATACTTTCATGTAGTGTCAAATATTTAAACCCTGGGCTTTTAAACATTTTGCATATTCGTCATCAAATCTGATCATATATGTACCCCCCCCCCATCTGCAATCATGATAGAAATCTGACTTCCGGTCTCAAAACTGAAAAATAAAATTATCGATACCCTTACCAATTGACCAACCAACTGAACCACCCCCCGGGGAACCACCTGCCCATCGATTGACTAATCAAACAGACTACAAAACATCCAAGCAACCAACTTTCAAAGGAAGCGACCAACTTTGCAATCACCAGTCAACAGAACGCAAGAAACTGACCAAGCAAAAACAAAGCAACCAACCAATTAATTGTGCAACCATATAAGCAACAAACAAAGCGAGGAACCAAGCAAGCAGCTAATTAAGTAACTATATATGCAAATACACGTAAGCAAGCAAATGAACAACAAAAAATCCAAGCAATCATGCAGAAACCAAACAAGCAAGCAACTAAACAAGCTTCCAAGTAATCAATCAACTAGCCCAGCAACGAACCACACAAGTAATCAACAAAGCAAGCAAGCAAGCAAACGACCATCCAAGCAGAAAACTAAGTAAGCAAACAACAAACCATGCAACTAATCAACAAAGCCACCGACCAATTAAGGAAGCAAGCTACTCATCAAGCAGAAAACAAAGCATTCGACAAACCAAGCAACCAAACAACAAAGCAACCAACCAAGCAACTAATTGATCCGGTCTCGTTTGCTGTTTATGTCTTGCAAATAATGCCCCTCTGCTGCTACAGTTTGTCAATGATATCAACTGCACACATTTGATTGATTTAATGCAACTTCCAAGTTCCAAATGAAGCACGAAGGTTGACATTTGAGAACATAACTGAAACCAAAAGGATGCGTGAAGACAAAGCTACATTTTCTAATTCTATATGCTCTTACTGGGTAATACTTTTCAGGAGAGAATCAGATCTACCGAGCAAGCCAAAACGTTTCAATATGTCTGGCTTATATCACTCATTACCATGTCTAAAATTCTCCAAAGTATCTTTATATGCAATACATAATATACCCTACAACCAAGCTCCGCATTCTAGCACTCGGATAGTTGGTTGATTGACAATATTGACTTACACGATATGTAATGGCTAAACTGAAGTGACGATCAACCCCCCTATCCCAGGTGCCCAAAATGTACTAGATCCATGGGCATTCGATAGATATTATTGAAAGTCCATGCTAGATCTTAAATACACATTTTTTTGGTAAATTAGATCCACTTGCTTCCCACATCAGATTTCTATTAATCGCTCATTTCTTGAAACGGTCCTATTTCAATTCTTTCCGGCCTAGGGAAAACCTTTTAAGATGAATATGTTGTGAACTGTTTTGCTCTTACACATATCAATTTTAGATCCAAGGTACAGAAAAGCCAGTCGACGTTTTTTCAAAGAGGTAGAACTGTATATCCAAAACCCGGATCTAAAACAATATCTTATTGTTATTAATTTATTGTCCAGTTCTACCTTTGATATTAATGCCAAATTCTGTTGTTTGTTAGCAACATGATGAGGATTGATTTCTATATGGCAGGTTACTTTGATTTTAAGGCCTATGGTAATATTTTTACATCAAATTTTAGTTGTTTATCTGTGATATCTAAAATGAGGAATTAAAAATAGTACTTCATAAAACCTAATGCATAGACTGCAATCAAGGCCCGGAATCGAGGTCTCTTGAATATCATACCCGTAAAAAACCAAAAATGCAATCAAACAAGTATATACTAGTATTGTGTGGTTAAGATCAATGATCAAGGAAACCCATTCGTAGGATTCATACTTATTGTTGATTTTTTTGTTTACAAGAAAAGGTTTCGTACGCGTATTGATATTGTCCTTCGTAATAAAACCCATATTGAGTCCCTACCAGTAAATAACCACTATACATTTGCAAAATATGGCCGCCATAGAATATTTGGGAGTCTAGGCAAGATACATGTACCATGTTAATGATCATTCAGCACTGGTACAAACGCGTATTATCCCATCCTTTCATCATCAATCCCTTAATTGATTTATAATAGTGAGCTTAAACCAGATTTAATCATCTCCCTCAGACTTATACAAATCCTGACTCAGAGTACGTAAAGGATTGGTACACTGTGTGCATATCATGTGTATCCTGGCGTCAGGATGCATACATGATTCGCGCACAGCGAGCCTATCCTGTGTGAATCTTGACTCAGGATACGTACAGGATTAGCACACTGTGCATATCCTGTATGAATCTAGGCTTCAGGATTCATACAGGATTGGCACACTGCGAGCGTATCCTGTATGAATCCAGGAGGCAGGATTCATACTGGATTCCTACACGCGCCAATCCTGTATAAATCCTGATACAGGATATGTTCAGGATATGCACACAGTGTGCCAATCCTGTATGTATCCATCTGTCAGGATTCATACAGTATTCGCTCACAGCGAGCATATCCTGTATGCATCTTGACTCAGGATACGTACAGGATTGGCACACTGCGTGCATATCCTGTATGAATCCAGGCGCCAGGATTCATACAGGATTGGTACACTGCGAGCGTATCCTGTATGAATCTTGACTCAGGATACATACAGGATTGGCACACTGCGTGCATATCCTGCATGAATCCAGGCGTCAGGATTCATACAGGATTGGCACACTGCGAGCGTATCCTGTATGAATCTTGACTCAGGATACGTACAGGATTGGCACACCGTGTGCCAATCCTGTATGTATCCAGGCATCAGGATTCATACAGGTTTGGCACACTGGGTGCATATCCTGTATGAATCCTGATGACAGGATTCATTGTATTCATACGCATTTTTTGCTGTGTATCGGTATTATTTTATTATTTTATGTTGACATTTTCACAAATATATTTTCCGAAAATAAAAAAAAGTACGGAAACAACCTAATAAAACTTAATCTAGCTACAAGCCCTTGTGAGCCCCATCCCACCACACATGTACACCTCCCAATAAGAACTTGGCAAAATAGATAGCGGGGCGGGGAGGGGGGTCCACAGTCTTCAAGCAAGAAGTTATTGTACATTAACTACAGTACTATAGTATTACTTACCCTATTTACGCTTTCCCGTATCAAGAATTCTAATTCTTGTCCTTTTCGTATTAAAACTGATTCTGATTCGTGTCTAGCCATTTTCCCCACAAACCAAAACTCTTGGTTTAATTTAGACTTAGGATCGTCTTGCAACTTTTGTGCATCGTCTCGAGTAGCTGCCATTATACGTTTTTTGGGCACGGGGTGCTTTCGTTGTAGCTGGGGAGACGTTCTTGGTGACGTTCTTGGAGAAGTTTTGGGCGAGGTCTCCCCTGGTGTTACCTAAAGTAATATTAAACAAGCCAAAATATTACTAAATGCTATACAAAATAATTTATTCGAAGCGTTTTTAAACTTTTGAATCTGCCATTGTATTTTCGTTTAATAAATGCCATTTGACCGATCAGCCACGATGACATGCGTGACGTATGTCGATTATAGACCAATAAAACTAGACGCCCATCTTTATATGCTAGTATTGGTATTTGTGGTAGACCAGTCCCCCTCTTACCAATGAGTCTAGGCTTACAAAGGTTGAATTCAACCAACTACTGTGAGTTACACCTTGAAATGACGCAATGGTTATATTCTAAGTCATACCTCAACAGGATCCCAGTTGTCAGAAGGGGTCCATCCATTAAGACCCCCTATGTTAACATACCACCAACCACTGGGATGCTTATTCACAAGTATGGCCAAGTCATTCTTGTCAAATTTGATAGTGCAAGGATAGGACTTGTTAAAACCACGATTTGCAACCAACGGAGTGCCGATTTTAGCTTTATTTCTGGCCTGAAATACAAATCAGAAGCTATCTTTAAACTTAGATATACACAGCAGCATATGTGACTTCTAGCAATATTTTTGCGTTTATTTTTTTTGCCATGATTGTGACTAAAGCATCGGTCACATTTGCTCTACGGCGGGTATACGGTGGCTATAGCTTCCCAAATCGATATATAAGTCCAGTTGATCGAACGGACCGAGGCCTTAGATATATCAAATATAATCACAAAATGAAAACTCACAGTATACATGCAAATATTAGAATATTAGAATTGTAAAAATGAATAAAGTCACAAACCTCCTGCTGTTCGTCTGTTGAGTTTGACAATGTTGGGACTTGCTCACTAGGTGGCGGTGGTGTTTCACAAGATGGCCGACGAAGTCTTTCCTCCAACTCTTGATGAATATTGCCTAGGCTTGATTTTTGACCAGGTTGATACGTTGGGCTAAGTAATTCCAGAGTAGTTGGTTGACTTTTTGGTGATCTAGGTTTAGCAATAGGTGGCGCTTTCAATGGTTTAGCAGGCTCCTTCACGATTGGAATGGAAAACCTGGATTTTTCTATACTGCCTAAAAAAGAACGTGAGGTGTTTAAAAAGCAAGAGTCATTTAATTATTATACACTTGTATCGATGTTTTTATCACCTCCATCAAAGACCTTCATCTATTTTCAATTCAGAAAAAATTGGAAAGAAGTGAATTTTATATAAATCCAAATAGAAATATTTGATAAATCAAGAAGGTATTAAAAGAGGTATGTTGTGATAGGGAACCACAAACAATCAAGAGCTGCCTGGACCTTTACGCATACTCGTCAACGAAGAATTCCCAAATCCACCGCTTTTAGCCAGGGTTCTCTTTACTATAAGCATATCAATAGTATCAATTCTGGCCCAACCAACACCCCTGCTGCCATCTATTCATTCATTTCTTTATAGCAAATGGTACAATAGATCGGTTGATTTCCCTTAAGAAGGGGGTTCGAGTGGTCAAATATTATTTCAAAATCATGCAGTTTTCACCTATTTTTAGCAGTTTTCAAGGAATTTTGGGCCAAAATTGTCAAATCTGAACCCCCCTGGAATTTAAAAAGTGACCCCCTTGACAAAAGCTGGCTACGAGAAATCCTAAGATACCGCACCACTTATTGCATTACATTGCTATAATCTATAAATTACCTGCTTTGTATCGCTTCAATAATCTGCATGGTAACCATCCTTCAGCTGGTGGTTCATCAGTATTGTTGTTTTTATGGCACATCACACAGAAAGTCCACTCTTGTCCCTCTATATTTCCGGATTGCACTCTGTCCCCTGCTTGCACGGTGAGTCCCGGTTGACGCTCTTTGGTCCCGTTATGATTGTCTGTCACTTCGTATAGGAAGACTTCATTCTACAAGCATAAGATTAAAGGTAATTTACATTACAGATACCCATGAATATTTTCACAATTTAATACCGAAGTGCATGACATGCATGAGCGGTAATGAAAATCTCGACGGAAAGTTTTTCATGAAGTAACTGAGAGAGCTTGATTTAGCAGTGAATTTTATTTATTTTAGGTGCATTACGATAGCATAAATTTATCATTTTGATATTTTTTCTGTAACTTACATGTAGCGTACATATTGAGCTATATTCAAGATATTCGATTCTTACATTTTTATTTATGTTTTCGCCGACTGTTACATTTTCATAACATGCATTTGGAGTTTGTTGTCTGAGATTTTCATAGAGAGGTAAGCCAGTGTCTTCTTGTTTTACTTCTAGAGTGGGTGCTTTGGACTGCGCATGTCCATGTTCTGTCGTCTGCTTTTTCAGGAATGATATCGGAACTATCTCAGAATATTGCACTCTGCTCTCATCACGAATAATAGGCTTGGTAAAAGTAGGCCTAAAGTATAAAAATATGAACATTTTTATAATAAATTAAAAATCATTGATATTGCAATTTCTGATAATGTGATATACGAGGCATTCGCATGCAAAATGCCACCATCTGCCATTTGTTACAGAAGCCAAACACCAACCTCGAACACCAACTGCCGAACGCCGTCCACAAATAGTTTGAGACTTATAGACAAACAGATGTCACCACTTGTAATAAATGATTTTAAAACAGAATTAATCTAAAATATTAGCTTTTTTATATATATTTTCAACTTACTCTGTATCATCAAAGAAGACTTCTGTATAATTTAGAGTGTGGTCCCTCTCTGCGTGTCTATCATTCGCCATGTCATCTAGATCTGTTCTACCAGGATTGTCTGTCACATAGATATTAGGTTGGCTATACTGTTTGGCAGGAATTACTGGAGTCGGTTTCTTACTCGTATGTCTGAAATTTACAAAACGGAATAATGAACCATAATATCTTTGAAATCATACAATCGTATCCGATGGGATCAGATTGAACCATGTAGAATCGTATTGTATGTATCGTTTCATATCGTATTATATAGTATCGTATAATCGTGTCTTGTAGTGTATTGTATCGTATTGCGTTGCATTGTATCGTATGTTATTGTACCATTTCCTATTGAACCGTATTGTATTATATTGTATTCCCATTTGATTGTAGTATGTTGTAGTTGTACTGTTCGTAGCGTATCGTATAATATAATACCGTATCATAGAAAACATAACACATTACGTCTTTAGACGGTTTTGTGATATATGCCACATTTGTGTTTGTTGCCAGCTATATCCATCGGTTACGTTTTAAAAGGATCATACCTTTGGAGTTTTATCATTTCCTCATTTACAATTAAGACTCACTGACCAAGTGTCATGAAACTGTCACCTTTTCGTGACTTCCTGGCCAATAAGCAATTTTGAAATACTTAGCAACATTGAGGTGTCCGCTTGTGTTTAATTGGAAACCGTTGAGTTGAAGTTGACGTACATGTTTTACGATCGGTTGTGCTTGGAATTATTAATTATTTTTAGGAAAAAAAAGTTCGTAATTTCGATGCAAAATTAAAATGGTATGTTCATAGACAATACAGTATAAGATGGTAGCTAAATATTTATAATACTAGCAGGCCCGTAGCCAGGATTTGCCAGGGGGGGGGGGGGGGGTCAGTTTTCAAAAATTTCCAGGGGGGTTCACATTTGACAATTTTGACCCAAATATGGCTAAAATCACTCGAGAAGTGCTCAAAATGGTGAAAAACGGCATGATTTTGAAAGAATTTTTGGCCGGGGGGGGGGGGGGGGGGTTCGCCCGAACCCTGCGAACCCCCCCCCCCTTGGCTACGGGCATGACTAGTAATGTTCATTACAAGTGTCAACTGTCCAGCAGGATGCACCAGGTACAACATGAGCTTCACAATCGGAACTCAGTAATGGATAGCTTATAAAAGTCTGTTTACATTTGAATCTGTCAAAGTATTCTCTCCTCGGTTAAAAAACATCTGCAGTTTATGACATATTTGATCAAAACACACAATTGTCAAACATAACCTGCATTAAACACATGGTCCAAAATTCATATCCATTGCCATATTTTTTAGTGCCTTGAAATAATTGATGCTACATCTAAGCTAGTGTAATTTGATATATGATTTTATACATTAATTTCGATTCATCATTAGACATCATATTGCATACTAATTACATATAAACATAACGGTTCTAAATATTTTAGACTGCTACACATGTCTGTAACATTTTTACTATTCACTAAAAGCATACAGGGTTCCCCAAGAGTAAGTTTACAATTATTCAACAATCTCTTTCTGTAAACTGCATACTGCAGCAGCAATATTACAGTACTCTACACCACATTACACTACGTTGTACTAAATTACACTACACTATACCTTCTAGGTGGAGCTTGTTTGTCGTGGAGACGATTCCTCTTTAGACTGATTCGTATGTTAGCGTAAACATCATCCTGAAAGTAGACATTTTAATAACTTCTACATTATTCCTGGATATAGTTTTGGTTAACTCCACGGTACGTGGTTTCCTCAAAGCTGGAGTATCATGGATGATTTTTATAAACTCATTGGCGGATTCAGGGGGGGATAGGGGCCCGGTCCTCCCTTTGGTTGGTCAAGAAAAAAATGTTGTAGGGCCTCAATAAGTGGGCCTTTTTGGGCATTACTTGGCCTTTTTGGTTTTTAGGCCAAATTGTCAAAAATGGGCCTCGAATTTTGGGCCTTCAATTTTTTTTCTAGATTTGAAATTGCCCCTTCCCCTTTTAGCTTCTGGATCCACCAGTGAAACTGAACTGACCAGCAAAAAATGATGGCCTCTTTCATATTTTGGTGAGGAAATACATCCATTATCTCCATTGGGTATCTGTTTCATGTAAGATTCATCCTGAAATATCCAGTCTCCATTGACCTATCCAGGAAAGACATTTCATGATCAAAGCCAACGAGTTCGCATGGATGTGCATGTACATGTAAGTTCCTATCCATAGACGTCATGAAGATGTTTATATGTTCCAGTATCAATTTAAGCTTCTTTAAAAGAGAGTTTCGTCTGGTGCGTTTTAAAGAATATTCTATATATATTACCACGTGCCATTGACCTTCTAGCCCATAAATGATAAGGATAAGGTACTGCATGTACATGTAAGGTTACGTATAACACAGTGTTATTGCATGTACAAACGTAAGTATTAATATAAATATTAACTAGTTAAATCTTATGCAATTTTAATACCAGTAATCTCGACTTTTGAAGTCGAACTCTGTTTGACATTTTCCTATTCCTGCTGTTTAATTGTCTGCAGACTTATCACGACTCTTTAGGAGGAAACAAAGCCAATACAATACGAACACTATGGAATACAATGCATATCAGATTTCTTGGCAGAACATCACGTTAGTAACTATATGTCAATTTAACTTTTCAACCCGTTCCCTGTTCTACAGAGGCATATGATATTATAGTATTGTATGTGCTTAGCTTCTGGATCCGCAAGTAGTTAAATAAATCCAGGTTATATTCAATCTGCACATAACAATGAATTGATTGATAATTACATTGCAATCCATCATGTATAGAACTCCCATTTTGATACTCATCACATTCTCCTGTCTTCAACTAAAGAAGCCCCGGGGAAGAAGCCATGATTTCTCATGATGAAGACCTTCGGTTACTCCAATGGTTCTAATAAACAGATGGGCGTCAAGCCATTGTCACAAAGCGTAATAACAAGCCAGTTATGAAAAAGGTTGTGATTTTGTTTAATCGTTCATCCTCTAGAAAAAACGTGTATTTGTTTACCTTTTCTCGTTGCTTTGGTGATTCACAGTTCACGGGTACAAGCTGCTCCAAATTGACGGCTGGTGTCATACCAACTTCACCATGATGACTGGAAGTAGAAAATATTTCTGTAAAGAGACTGTCAATGTTAAGAGACTGAAACAGTTTTTGAAGTTGAACATTAAAAGAAAACAGTTTAATAAAGAGTTTGAATATATTCACCTGGTTTTTATAGTATGTACGTTTGTTTTGTGACGGTAGCCCTACACGATAGACTGCTAACTTTTATTTTAAAAGCTGTTCCCGTGTTAGTTGATCTTTAAGAGGCTTTTGACGTTATCTGAACGAGGATAGTTAAACCCTACATTTCCTTAGTCAAAATATACCTTTAATCTCAACACGTACAAGGGACAACCTTGAAGCAGTTATGTTTTGTACTGATTAACTTAAACTATATATACATATAGGTTTGACTATTTATACACGCTGTATAGTATATTCAAAATTCATCATGTGTTACTAAATGTGAAATAGACTAAAATGTGCAGCATAAAATGTGTCCTACCTCGAGCGACCACTTAAGGGCCAATGTCTAATAGGCATTACTCACGAAATATCCAAATTGATATAAGTATCATAAGATAAACAAACCTATTTTCATATGTACAGTGTACGGTTTACAACTTTACAATCGTCTTTCAATAAAGAGCCAGCTCTCATTGTAATTTTATTAGCTTTTAATGTCCATATGGCACAATTAATAAAGTCATAATTTAATAGTCACGATCATAAGGTCATTGCGACCTACTGTAAGTTGTGGGAACTAATGTATTGTTGGTTTTGTAATAATCATAAACATTGCTCTCAAATAAATCATAGTTTGATAGTGTCGTTTATTTTACTCAAAGTTGATACTTTTAAAAGTGCTTCAGGAATAGTATCTTTGGGTACATAGTGTGCACTTGTATGTCTGTAATGTGCACTTGTATGTACTATGTAATGTGCACTAAGTAGGCCTACTTGTATGTCTGTGTATCGGTACACTTAAAATAACACAAGGCTCCTCCAAGAGGGGTTCTGGCTCTGCCTTTGAGTGTAAAATACGGAAATATATCAAAGAAGTATACACTGGTCGCCAAAATATGATGGTAACCAAAATGCAATACAATACAATATAATTCAATACAATATAATACAATACAATACAAGACAATACAATACTACACTGTAGTTAATCTAAATTGAACTAGTTATAAACTACACAGCGAAGTACAACGAATCCAAAGGGCAACAATGTGGATATTCACACAGGAAATAAAGATATATAAGTGCTTTCATTTTAACATATCTTCTCAAATGAGGAAACGTGCGACTTATTCATTTTGAACAATTGACATAACATGACATAAGAATATATGTCATATATTTCCTTGTCATGTTTTATTCATTTTATACAGATTTTGGAGCCGTGCGTGAAAGTTTATTTTCTCACAGAATAATTACCGAGTGTGACAAGCTAAAACTTTATTTGCTGCACATTTGGATTATCCCTTCATACCAAAACAAAAATATGTTTATTTTTTTTTATTTTTTGTCTATACGCTAGGTCAATCTTAACACCCTTAACACCCATTGCAGCAGAACTATACCTTCATACAATAAAACCTGTCTAAGTGAACACCTCTCTCCAGTGAACTACTGTCACTAGTGTACACCCCTCATCACATACTCAATTGACTTCTGTATTAATGACCCTAGCTCTCTGTAGTGAACACTTTTTTGCCAAGAAAAAATGTTCAATATATATACGCAGGTTTTACTGTATATAATAAGATTTAAAATAAATTCGCCATCATGACAATAGTATAGTTTCCATATAGCTTTTGAAATCTCGCTAAATCTCGTTTTTCGTGAGATTTTAAGAGACTTGCATATTAGACCTCTAATTACTTACATTACCTTCTTTTAAATGGTATATTTGAATTCAGTGGAATGTTTTCTCCTAAAATAGCTTTGATTTACACAGTTATGTAATTTGAATAATTTTCTATGACAATTTAAAAAAGTTGGGCCAAATGTCCATAGATGCAATGCTAAAATTCTTTAAAACCGTGGATTATTTGTATGTCAATCAACATTAGCATGTTTAATCACAACATGTTCATAAACAGGGTCATCATGTGGTATATCATTCAAGTTTTATACAGATTCAACAAACACACTTTGATAAATCATGAAATTAAGCCACTTTTCCAAGATTTTAGCATGTAAGTGAATGGAGCTCTAGCCAGAGTTAAAAGCTGAATAAAAGATGGCAGCACGAGATTTCATTGATTTTTCTGCTATTTAGAAACTATCCTATTAGGGTTCCCCAAATTACAAAATTATAGCATTATTACCTCAATCTGTCGCCATATTTTCGTTTATGAAACGCTTGTCTATTCCAATTCACATGGACATGTGTAGGCGGACTGTTACATTTCTGTCCTTTTTCAACATCATCTACAGGTGCCTTAACTTCCAAATCCAGAAATTCTGAGAGCTTCATTTCAGCGTGCTCTTAGTTCCCTGAACTTATCAGTTTACTTTATATTCCCAGAACTTATTAGCTTACTTTATATGTATATTTCTGATTGCCTTAAGTTATCAGTTATTTGATTTCAGGTTCTGAGATTGAACTGAACTGATGTGTTCTCTACTCTCTAACTCATAGGAGGGACTATTTCTTATTTATTGTTTATTGACCGATTTCTTTTACAAAAATGTGGCTGTTTTTATCAATCCAAATAAATAGTTTTTGTTTGACGTAAGTGACTAAGAAAATATATTTATCAAAAGCAAGACACCATTCATATTTAATAAACACGCCCGTATTTCCTTTCAGAATTGTCACAATGACATGATACTAATAACAAATCAAAACAGAAAAATATATTTGTGCAGCTAAAGCGAGCCAATTCAGCTCCTTATAAGTACAGATGACGAATATGACGTCACTGGAATCGTGAATTCCAATTCACCATTCAATTAGTACAGGTGTAACCACGAAACTGTGGTAAGCTTTTTTATTTAGCATCTCAGTTTCTCCTCCGTGGACCGCTCTGTGGTAATAAAGATCGTGTATGCTGTTTTTCAAAAAGCAATAAATATCTGAATCTGATAACTGACGAGTCAAATAGGCGAGTCAAATCATAACAGGCGAGTCAAATCAAACCTAAAATAGGATTCAATGCTAAGGACACAATGCAATTTTTAGTTTAAAACAAAAAAATCAAAAATTGATCTCAATATACTTTTTTGGTGAGGCAGTTGAATCGCCTGGCTACGCTTGTAAAAGTGATGACTCAAATAATGGATTGGTTTATACAAGACACACATTCAAATATTGACACATCTAAAATATTATATCTGACCGACATACATTTGTTGAAAAAGCATGTTTGATGGATTGATAACATTAATACATGACATTAATGATATGAATAAGCTTACTGGAGGTCAATGCCCTGGCATATGGGATCTTAAGTTTTTCATGATTATTTTTTATAATTTGTCCGTTCGTATGATCTCTGGTTTGTTTATTTAATATTCGTTTCCGTGTTTCAGTGTGTTTATTCGTTGGTTAGATTTTTAAATATTTAAATTGATATACATTTCTTTGATTTGTTTGTTAAATTATAATTTTGCTCGTTTTCATGTGTTCTACATATGCTTTGCCTAATTGTTGTTCTTCTTTCTGCATAACTGAATTCCGTTGTATTGTATTGTATTGTATTGTATTGTATTGTATTGTATTTTATTGTATTGTATTGTATTGCATTGTAATGTATTGTATTGTATTGTATTGTATTGTATTGTACTGTATTGTATTGTATTGTATTGCATTGCATTGTATTGCATTGCATTGCATTGTATTGTGTTTGTTTCGTTTTTCTTTTTTTCTTTACTCATTTCACATTGCCTTGGATATGTGCAGTATTTAATCATATGCACATACCTTATTTTCCACCATCCATTTAAGTTTGCTTCCAATACACGAACAATTTCACCTTCTTCGTAGGAAAGTTCGTCTGCGTCAAAAGCACGATGGCGACATCTAGTGACGAATTCACCTACTAAAAACAAATTGAAAATATGCATTTGCAATTTTGAAAATTCGTAAGTGGATATTTGGAATATACAAATATAAAAATGTATTTTGATATGCTTATATCGGACCTTATTATCGTCCATTAAATAAGTCCCATATCTTCCAAAATTGACTTTTAATATTTCAAGATTATGATTTTTATGAGTCATTCAAATATGGGTTATTATTTTGTTTAATGTTAAAATATCGATTTAGGCTATTCATTCAACAAAATTCCAAAATATTTCTCTTTATCAACACGCCATTGTTAATAAAATGTACACGATCTTTTCTAAATGGCTTGGTAACCCTAACCCCATGGAGTTCTGTATTGTATTATAAAGTTGCTTATATTTGACGATTTTTAAATCCTTCCCAATGTAATTGAGAAAACTAATTGAATTTAAAACATAAACAGACTGGTCAGTGATAATCCTACCAAATGAGGAGTCGAGGTTTCCAAATATTTGGAGTGGAGTGTATGTTCGAATTTCTCGATTCTTACGTGATTTATCTTCATTTATTTCTTCCAAGGTGTTATAGACTGGATCTTGGTCGACAGTAGGTTTAGTTGTACTCTCAAGGAAAACGCCCGGGGCCCATCCCTCCTCCATTGAATTCAATGACGTCACAAACCACCAACCTATAATCAACGTATAGCATTTTACATCACCTGGTAGTTGCATGTCAGGCCTGTTTTAAAAAAAAAAAATCATGACAGTCACTCCCTTTCAAAGATTTTCACACTTTTGCAAGGGCGTAATCATAGAGGCATTCCATCGAATTCGAACACGAGTCACAGTCTGAGAGTCACCCTTATGTCGAGGGTTGGTCAAAGCTCTCATTTTGGAATTTTCAAAAATACATCAGTTGACGGGCTTTCAATTTCTTGGGTACTTAATTAGTAAGTATTTTTGATATAAGTAGTATGAACCAGCACAACTATGAAGCGACAAGACAATTTACCTGATACATTCTTTTCGTGAACTTCAACTAGGTCGCCCTTTCGGAAGCTTATTTCTCCATGCTCTTGGCGAGTATAATCACACACAGCTCTAAACCTGTCAACCGGCTCATTTTCAAAAATTCTCGTTTCTAGTTCAGGAACCTCACTATAGATGTCGTCGTGATAATCCAGGGATTTCGTTTTTGCGCTTCTCTGAAAAGCATTAATGACATGTTTTCTATTTGACGTCACATCTTCACTCATCTTTCTCCGCCTAATAACGTTAGATGAGTCATAACCCTTTTCATAGGTGCGTGGATTTGGCTCCTCATTGATCTTACGCGGAGCCCCTTGACCGCGACCTAAGTTTTCATAACCATAACCATCGATGTCACTCAGTTTGACATTTGGCGGAAGTGTGTATGACGTCCTTCCGGTTGGCATTGCATGCTGGATATCATCCTTCGTTATCTTCCCTCTTTGATGCTTCTTCTTCGACTGTATTTTCTCATCTGAATGGGCGCCATGGATGAGTTCCTTGAGAATATCCGGAACCATTTTGGCGCCCGATTCCTTATTCTTCCTGCCTGAATTTGGCATCCTGATAAACAAGAAATTAAAACATTTATTTAAACTTTTAATCTTAAACAAAAGTTATCATAGACTTAGATCGGAAATGCTGTCACCATGCGTGCAGAGATTTACTTATTGACAAGACATTTGATTGATATTTATGCATGTCAGTTTGGTGAATGTTACATACGTAGAAGGTAGCACAGTTACTTCAGGTAATATTATTTGCATTGCCGATGGGAAAAGGACACATATGTTCACATAGTCACGATATAAACAATGATGGTAACTGTTAAACAGCAGGTTTAAATGGCAATTCGTTACGAGGCCTTGTATTTTCACAAAACGAAAGATTTTGATCTACTAAGCGTTTTGCCAAGATCAAACGCTTCATAACGAATCAATTTGACCCTGATGTGTAGCAAGATGTATCAACATCTAAAAGA